CCCCAAAACCCCAAAACCCCAAAACCCCAAAACCCCAAAACCCCAAAACCCCTGGAAATGCTGAACAAATTGAAACGTTATATTTCTAAAATCTCAAAACCCATAAAACTGAAGATCTGTTCAGAATTTGCGTGTAGGAATTAGCTTTACTGATAAGTATGTGACTGCATCGAAGGCATTTCATAGCTAGGGGAAGCCCCCAAAGTCTTCGAAAGCAGAATGTCACTCTCAAGCTGGTTCAACCTGTTCTTTATCATAGTTATCTCATTAGTGATGTATGTTTGGAAAATATTCTGGTTTTCTAATATCTTATCTTGCTGGGCTTTCATCATCCTCATTTGTTCCTGAATCATGTGTTTAAAGGGAACATCCATATCACTACTTGAAGCATTTAGAGGTGGTTTAGGGTTCATGTTTGACTCTAATGGATTCTGATGCAAATCTGCCTGTGAATTTCTAGCTTTACTAACACTTTGAGATACTTGTCCATAATTATCTCTTCTCTGATAGTCAACTGTCTCCTGTTGTCTTTCCATCATATTCTCCCTATTCTGTGCAAAATTAGTGTTTGATGGAACAGATATTGTATGCCTCACAAAATCTTGTCTATTTGCATCTTGATTGTAAAAATTCGAATTCATACTACTGTCAACCTTTCTTTCTACATTCTGAACTTGCTCTCTAATTCCACTTAAGCTTCTCTCAACATCAAAAGGAATGACTCCCTTGTCGTTTGAGTTTTCATTCTGATTTTTCCTCACATCGTTTCCTGGCTTTTTCACTGATTTCACAGGAGATTTCTTCGGACTGCTATGTTCTGGGCTATCCTTAATTCTCTCCTCTATTGTACCATAAGTTTTAGCCACGTTCTCTCTTTCTGGTTCATTAGGAGTATTATTTGTCCATCCTTTGTACTTTTTGGTTGGGCTAGTTCTAGGTTTCTCCCCTACAACGTAACTTCCTTCTTCATTCCGATCGCTCTCCTCAAAATCGTGATTTTCAGGGGTCTCCTCAACTTTCTCATGAGTTTGTTCCTTCTGATCGACTTCTTCGGTGATCTGTATATCTTCAGTGTCAGGGTCATAAACAACATTGAATCTGTGCTTTGGCTTAGACTGATCACCCTCGAGTGCTTCTGCTTCATCATCTTCCTTCTCTTCTTCATTATTTATATCAAACACAATGACTGGCTTCGCCTTGCTATTAGGCTTATTATCAGAGGCCTCCTGACTTAGATCCATGCGCTTCTCTTCTTCACTGATCTTATCGTCTGCATCAAGGAAATCAGGGGTATCTTCAAAGTTCTTTTCCTCGTTTTGGTAATAAAAGTTGTGCTTCTCCTTCTTTTCCTTCTTGTCTTCACCTCCAGAGGCCATGTAGATCTTAGGTTCTATTTTTGGCTTGTTACTAAAGAAGGTAGGATTCCTTTCCTGGTCAAAGATACTCTTTTTCTCCTTATTTAAGATTCGGCTTTCTAGAGGGTTTAGCCTTCTTTTTGGCCTCTTGAGCCTCCCTTCTCTTTCTGGTGGCAGCAGTAATCTTCTTAGTTTCAGGCTCTTCTTCTTGAACTCCGTGGAAATTTGGATAGGAATGATCTTCCTCAGGATTCTTCTTTTGTTTCTTCCAAGGTTTATCTGATGTTGTAGGCCTGCTTTTGCTAACTGGCTCAGAAACTTGTGTCTCAGAGACACAAGAAGGATCTATCTCTTTGATCAAATTCAAAGCTTCGATTGCAGCTTCTCTGACAGGTTTCATTTTATCGAATCTTCAATGGTTCAAGACCTCATAGATCTCTTTTGTATACGGAGTGAGAACATCTCCTAGAATAGCAGCAATAGTGTACATGACATCGATTCCAATCTTCCTTGTGTGCCATTCATTAAGGGCCATTCACTCCAGGAGAGTCGGCAAAAATCCAACTGCATAAGGCTCAAATTCTTGTTCAACAGAGAGAAGGAGAGAGATTAACGATTCTAGGATCTGAGTATGAGCCCTACAATTGTTAGAATTCAAGACTTCCTGCAAAGCCTTGCATAGATCCTCCATTTTTGCCATCAGTGCATCCACAGGAGCATTTTGAATAATTTTTGTTAATCATAAAGCAGCTCCTGATTGGACGATCTTTCCAGGCTGATTTAGGTTGGTAAAAACCATTTTCAAAAAGGTAGTCAAGAGCTCAGTTGCTTCCTCCACAGTTTCTATATTCTTCAAAACATTTGTGAGGATCATTCCGATAGACTCTGCATATGAATTCAGAATCTCCTGCTGATCATTCTCCTTCAATTTCTGCTGAATCTGGCTTAAAACCTTAGGTAAGAAAGGGATGAGGCTTTCTTCAAAAATCTCAGCTGCAATGCCATACACCTTAATATATTCCTTCTTCTGAGTATTGCCCAGATGATCGGTTTGTTCATTGATGTGGTACAAGAAAGTATTCATTCGATCTGTATTAGTGATGTGTTCCACCATCAACTCCTTAAGCTCCTCCACTGCTGTCTTTGTAGTGTAATTATTATTAAACTTGCTTAATGCTCGCAGTAATCACTGCCTAAACTGATGCTTAGTCTCAATAACTGCTGGGAAGTAAGACTTCTTACTCATTTTCAGAAGAATTTTAGAAAAATTTAATTAAATTTCTTAAAAGGGGTTTTGGGGTTTTGGGGTTTTGGGGTTTTGGGG